AGCATAGTGCCTAAGGCACTTGACTGCTCACCAGAAGGCTGGCGGTTCAAACCCACCAGCCACTCCTCAGAAGGAAGGTTGGGCAATCCTATTTCCGTAGTGTTACTGCCTCGGAAACCCAAGAAGGGGTCACTATGAGTTGGGGCCGACTCGACGGCAAACAACAACAACCACAGACCCATTTTGTAGAGGAAGAAACTGTGGCTCAGAGAGCTTCAGTAATTTGTCCAGGACTCATTTAGCTACTAAGTGATAACACCAAGAATTGAACCCACCAACTTGAAGGAAGTTGCTCTGTGCTGTGCAAGCTGAGGGTGACAGATAAGAGCACAAGCTCTAGAATCAAGTTGCCTGGGTTCAAATTCCAGACTGCTGCTTGTTAGCTTTGTGGTTATGGGAACATTTCTTAACCTGGTGCCTCAGTGCCCTCATCTATGAAATGGGAATATCAGTAGCATTTATCTCATAGGACTGTTTTAAGGATTAAATAGGATAATATTTGCTTAGAATACTGCTTGGCACACAGTAAGGGCTCAATGATTTTGTTTTTTTCCTAAATAAAGAAGAAATGTCCTTTTTTAAAGGAAAAAAAAAACAAACCTATTTCTTTGAGTATTCATATGGGGCTAGGAGGTGGGATACTGAAGAGCAATAACAAAGAAAAAAATTGTTCACTCTAAAGATGGGTTAAATTAAGGTGAACTCATGAATTTCTCCATAAGCCAGTATGTCTACTTTGGCAATTTTATTTGGGGCTGTATAACATAGATTTGAGGGATTAGTTTCTTTAACCTGAGTTCCATAGACTTATCTGTTGACTGACAAATTAAATATAGCTAGGAGTCTTAGAATTACAATATATATAATTATACATAGTATAAAGAGCGGCTAGAACAACAAACAAATCTGTTTTGGAGTAAGTGCTGCTAGAATGTTCCTCGGAAGTGAGAACTGCCAGACTTCATCTCTAATGCTTTGGTCATGTTGTCAGAAGAAGAATATCATGCTAGGTAAAGTAGAGCGTCAGCAAAAAAGGGGAAGACCCTCAACAAGATGTATCAACACAGTGGTTGTAACAATGAGCTCAATGACAATGGCACAGGGCCAGGCAGTGTTTCATTCCATTGTACATGGTGTCATTATGAATTGAATCAACTGGATGGCAGCTAACACAACAATACAAAATCCAAAACCTACTGCCATCGAGTTGAATCTGACTCATAGTGACCCCCCATTGGATTTCTAAGACTGTAAATCTTTATAAAAGTAGATTGCCTCATCTTCCTTCTGTGGAGCAGCTGGTGGGTTTGAACCACTGACCTTCTGGTTAGCAACCAAACCTCTTACCCACTATGACGCCAGGGCCCCTTAAACAAAAGAGCCTTAAATTAAGACAAACCAGTCATTTAGGTGAGGGCTAGAGGTGTACAGTATCTATTTGAATCAGTCAGCTAACATGTTGAATTTTGAGAATTAGACTATGTTTGGGGGCTGTATTCTTACCATGCATGTCCTGCATTAGATTATTATGAAGTATAAGTGTTCATGGCTAGTATTTTGGCTTTAAAAAATTGCCTCATTGAGCTATACTTTTTTCCTTCTTTAAGCATCTTCTCATGTGTTGATCTGTTTATCTTTGACTTTTCAGTAATTCCTTTGTTTCCACTACCATGTTATCTAAGGTAGAATGAGAAATGATCTCACCTTTAGTTTGAGAGATTTGTCTGTGAGCTATAGTTAAATTTAGGAACTGTGCTCTTTATGAATGAGGGAAAGACTGTGAAAAGCAAACTAGTGTTTTGCCACTTGCATCAAGAGAGCAAGAACATTGACTTCTTCCTTAACCAGCATTTCAGGGAGTTTAATAAGATTCTACATAGCCATGCTTCTTTTCTATTGATAGCCCTAAATTTTCCTAATTTGTGGATAACTCCTCCATCTAAAGAAGATAGAACCCGGATCTCTAACCACTTGAATCCACTTAAAATTAACATTTCTTCCTACTCTTTGAAGAAAGACTTTCTGTATTTGTCTTAGTCTTAAATTTGAGTCAGAAACATACTTGACAAATTCACCATTTTAAGAAATTGTTTTCTCAGAGTAGATGTGAAGGGTAAGCTTAAAGTACCACAGGATTGACTGTAACCTCTGACTTCTATTTGTGTGTATCACTGGGACTGTCAGAGCTGAATGTTATATATACATAGACATCAAAGTAACACGTATTTCCTCTGTATCCTCTGGTAGACTGCTACTGTGGGGCTGATGGACACTGAAGATGCATATTTCTCAGTCTCTACTGGCCAGTCCAAATCATTTCCTGGGGTGGGAGCAGAGGTGGGGGTGAGGGGTTAGGTTGAGTAGGAGAGAAGCCTTACAACATCCTCCTATAATTAACCAAGTTTTCAAAACAGTCTTCAAGCATTTCAAAGAAAACTCCATCAATTCTCAAAGTTCTAATCTTCATGTAGCCTACTTTCCCAAGTATCCAGCTATAAACATAGCCTTAGCTTAGCGGCTAGTTTCTAGATTCACATGACCAAGTTGTCCAGGTGCATAGACAAGGTGGTTTATTGAAATCCTTTAAGTAAACTTAAAGCCCATTTAAAAAAAAATTTTTGTTGTGATTTGGTTGAAAGTTTGCACAGCAAATTTATTTTCCATACAGTTTATACACATTGTGTCTCATCACATTGACTGCAATTCCCCACAGTGTAACAGTTCTCTTCCCACTTCTTCCCCGTAGTTACCTCTCCCCTGTGTCCTTCCCTCCCATGCACTCCAGCCCCCTCCATCATCTCCCGGTGCATACAGGGCCCTTTTGTTCTCCCATAGTTGATCACTCCAAGTAGTATATCTACCTGATGTAAGTGTTCAGCCCGTATTAAAGCCCATTTTTACAACATGGTCAATAATCTTAGTTTATTAGTGGTACAGAAATCCTTGTGAACCCCTACTTTATGAAATTTTTCTAATAAATACCTTTGTTCCCTTCGCCCAGGCCCTGCACTCTCCCCACCCCCACTTTTCCCATCAGGGAAGGTTTAGTGGGAGAATAAGGCATACAGGTAGAAACTGGAGACCATCCAGTATAGCTTCCTCTTGGCATCAGCTTTAGTTCTCTAAGAACACTCATGTTTTTCCTTGCCACTATACTATGAAGAAAAATCAGCAGGAGCTTTTTTCCTCCATTTATTGAAAAAAACAAGATAGCACATACATACAATGAGTATGTAGTATAATGCTTTTAAGAGCATAGCTTGATGGTTCTTTACATACTTACCAACATCTAATCAAGATACCATTGCTGATGTCAGATGGATCTTGGCTGAAAGCAAAGAATACCAGAAAGATGTTTACTTGTGTTTTATTGACTATGCAAAAGCATTCGACTTTGTGGATCATAACAAATTCTAGATAACATTGAGAAGAGTGAGAACTGCAGAACACTTAAGTGTGCTCATGAGGAACCTATACATAGACCAGGAGGCTGTCACTTGAATAGAACAAGGGGATATGGCGTGGCTTAAAATCAGGAAGGATGTGCATCAGGGTTGTGTCCTTTCACTGTACTTATTCAATCTGTATGCTGAGCAGATAATCAAAGAAGCTGGACTATATGAAGAAGAACGCAGCATCAGGTTTGGAGGAAAGCTCATTAACCTGTGATGTGCAGGTGCCAAAAAGGCAAGGAGGCCACATCTTCTGACCTCCTATAACCACACAAAAGGAAGACAGAATCACCATCAATAGCCCAAGGCCTATTCCTGCAAGGTCAGTCATGCTGCCTCCCTCCAGCCCTTGCACCAACCATTCCTCCTGCAACACCCACCACTTCTCTGTTAGGTTCGATAATTCGCTGCAGTGGCCACACAGAACTCATAGATTATGGGGTTTATTAGGGAGGCACCAGGCTACAATCATGTTCAGGAACTACGGTCAGTCTCTATCAGTCTCTCTCCCAGCAGTGCATGTCTCTCGGTGTCTCTTTTTCAGCAGTGCATGTCTCTCAAGAGCACGTTTCTCTCAACAACACATCTTTCTCAGTCAGCAGTCAGAGAGTGTCTCCTTCTGTCTGTAGAAGGGCTCCTTTTGAGCCTGGCAGAGTGGCCAAACTAACCAATCATAACATCAGAATTCTAAGCACCTGAGAGAGCAAACTTCCCAGAACATTGCTTTGTGCCACTCTCAACAGAAATACCCCAGGTAGGTAAGTTTAACCATCAGGAGCTCCTTAGGTGCTCACAGCAAATTTCATCTTAGAGTTTACAAAGACTTATGGCTAGAAAAGCCATACCAGGTAATTTACTACACTGCAGCAGGCAACACAGCCTTACTTGCTGAAAGTCAAGATGACTCGGAGCACTTAC